AAAATGAAACATGCACAACTAAGAACTAAGAGGAGACAAGAAAGGAAACTAAAGAAAGATACCAATAACAAACTCTAACTGTCCAATCTCAAGATGGTAGCCTTGCAGCCATCTTGTTCTTCAGATCAGCATCAAAATCAAATATCCACAACTACAGACCAGTGGTAATTAACCTCCACATGAACTTTACAGATTCCAATAGAACCTTCTGAAAGAACAAACTACAGACAAAAAGTGATTTGAACAGCCTGTCAGCTAATAAAAGTGGGCTAAAAATAAACAAACAGCATCCCTTAAGTAAATTTCAGCATAAAGCATTTCACCTCCCAAACATGTTTATATATGTACCATTAAAAAATAAATAAAGGGACACAACTCCAAATACACCTACAAATGTATAAAAATACTGGGGTAGAACATGAAATTAATGTTGAGGAGCTACCTTCAAAGATATATATAAGTATAGCAAGTTTAGTGAATTAATCTGAAAAAACTTCCTTTACTCAAAACCGAATTAATCATAACAAATCTTACTTAATACTGAAACAAAGGGTCATAACACACTGTAAATAGTGGAACACACAGGAAAAGATAGAAAAAATAACTTTGATTTGAATAAAAAAAAAAGCCAATATTAATGAATTAATATCTGTGTTTACACTTCAAACACAGCTCAGAACCAGTTTTTCAAGGTGGCCAACATATACTTATATCTGTAGTTATATTAATTGTATCTATAAAAGTGACCACATTGGTCAAACTTTCATATTTGAATTAGTTATTTTTATATCAATTATGGTATTTGTCTGAAAGTGAAAATATGTTTATGGCATGTTTTACTTACTACAATAAATACTTGAATGTTGAAAAAACGTTTCTTAGTTTTGTACTAGTTTTGTACAAGCAACATTTAGTCTTACCAATTTTAGCAGAACTTGTCGTCGGTAAAACACAGGCCGTTCCAAATCATGTTACAAAAATGTCAAATGATGGACTTATTAATTGCATTGAAAGAAAGAATATCACTGACAAACAGGATTTGAACATTGGTATCAAAGTAATTAATAACTAAAATTTTGTTTTTGTGAACAAAAACGTATGTCTCCCCTTATTAGCCATTAGACAAACTTCAGTATAAAAAATTAACAAAGGGCCATATCTCTTTATATAGTGGGACAAGAGACCCAAATTTAGAATATGACACTCCTACTTCCCAAGATACATTAAAACTATAGCAAGTTTGGTCAACGCAGGTGACATAACATGGAAGCTCTGGACAAACTTCAGTATTAAAAATAAAACCAAGGACCATAACTCTGTATAAAGTTGGGCACGAGACCTAGTTTCAGTGCACTGCACACCTCAAACACCTAGCTTCTGTGGGTGATGCAGGTATGCTTTAAGTTTGATTAAGATATCTTAGAAGTTATGCCTTGGACAAACTTCGGTATTCAAAATAAACAAAGGGCCATAACTCTGCATATAGTGGGGCACAAAACCTGATTTTAGTGTGAGAAATTCCACCTTCCAATGATACATAAATATGTTAAGTTTGCTCATTGTAGGTGAAATAACATGGAACTTATGTTCCGTACAAACTTCGGTATGAAAATTAAACAAAGGGCCATAACTCTGTATATAGTGAAGCACAAGACCTAATTCCAGTGCACTGCACACCTTCTGTGGGTGATGCAGGTATACTTCAAGTTTGATTAAGATATCTTAGAAGTTATGACGTGGACAAACTTCGGTATTAAAAATAAACAAAGGGCCATAACTCTGCAAATAGTGGGGCACAAAACCTGATTTTAGTGTGAGAAATTCCACCTTCCAATGATACATAAATATGTTAAGTTTGCTCATTGTAGGTAAAATAACATGGAACTTATGTTCCGGACAAACTTCCGTATGAAAATTAAACAAAGGGCCATAACTCTGTATATAGTGAAGCACAAGCCCTAATTCAGTGCACTGCACACCTTCTGTGGGTGATGCAGGTATACTTCAAGTTTGATCAAGATATCTTTAACAGTTTAAAATTTACGGGCCGGACAAGAATTTACTGAAAATGTTGCACTTATTTTACCTTTGACCTCGAGGTGAAGGTCACAGTGACCTTATTCCAGTGCACTGCACACCTTCTGTGGGTGATGCATGCATACCTAAAGATATCTTTAAGGGTTTAAAAGTTATGGCCCGGACAAGTTGCGATTAGAAGAACCAGAAGAACCAGAAAAAGAAGAAGAACCAGAAAAGGAACCATCTTAATACAATATGTCTCCGTTCAATGATGAAGAAAACAAATGTATTTTTATGTATGGATAAACTATCAACTTTGTTTAGGCTATTTGGAGATAACTGCAATAAAACATACTGTAGGTGAAGTCTTTCATTCTCAATTTTGCCAATTGTTCATTGAAGTAAAATTGTAGTTATTCACTGATAACCTTACCCAACTCGAAAGAGGCAGTGCTAAAGTGATACTTTAATAGACATAAAGACTGACCTTTGAGTATCAAAAGAAATTTTCCATAGAGAATTTGTTTTCAGATTTGATACAACACCTATTCATATAAGCTATCGGTAGTCCTTCAGATTTGATGTATCACTTCTGATCAGAGTGGATATCATTATATAGAGTAGACACACTGACCACAGTGGACGTCTCTTTATAGACTAGACACACTACTGACCACAGTGGATATGTCTATTTAGACTTGACACACTGGCCACAGTGGATAACTATATATAGGATTGGCACACTGGACCACAGTGGGTAACTTTATATAGACTAGACACACTGACCACAGTGGATGTCTCTTTATAGACTAGACACACTACTGACCACAGTGGATATGTCTATTTAGACTAGACACACTGGCCACAGTGGATAACTATATATAGGATTGGCACACTGACTACAGTGGGTAACTTTATATAGACTTGACACACTGACCACAGTGGATATCTCTATACAGACTAGACACACTGACCACAGTGGATATCTATAATATAGACTAGACACACTAACCAAGTGGAATTCTCTATATAGACTTGACACACTGACCACAGAAGATATCTCTATATAGACTAGACACACTGATCACAGTGGATATCTCTATATAGACAAGACACATTGACCAGAATGGACATCTATATATAGGCTAGATACATTGACCACTATGGATATCTATATATAGACTAGACACACTATTCACTAACACAGTGGACATCACTATATAGACTAGACACACTGATCACAGTGGATATCTCTATATAGACAAGACACTGACCACTGTGGATATCTATATACAGACTAGACACACTGACCACAGTGGATATCTCTATACAGACTAGACACACTGATCACAGTGGATATCTCTATATAGACAAGACACATTGACCACAGTGGATAACTATATATAGACTAGACACACTGACCACAGTGGATATCTATATATAGACAAGACACATTGACCACAGTGGGTAACTATATATAGACTAGACACACTGACCACAGTGGATATCTCTGTATAGAGTAGACACACTAACACAGTGGACATCTCTATATAGACTAGACACACTGACCACAGTGGATATGTCTATACAGACTAGGCACACTAACACAGTGGACATCTCTTTATAGAGTAGACACACTAACACAGTGGATATCTCTATATAGACTAGACACACTATTCACAGTGGATATCTATAATATAGTAGTACTGACCACTATATAGATGAAACATTGACCACAGTTTTAATTTGTCTCTTAACTGGAAGCACGTTTGACCTCAGTGAACCAGGCTGCTAGTGACCAGTGTGAAGAATACATTTATGCTAAAACTGGTCATTACTAGACTTACCCTGTATAATCCTGTTACAGAACAATTTCTGACATATGTATACTGTATGTTTGATTAAATGTGTATCCAATGACTAAACTGACTAGACAAAACCCCAGGTTTCATTTCTAAGCCTCCTAAAACACACAAAAGACAAAAAGTAATATATGTGCTTGCATGTGCTTGGACAATGCATCGTGTACGATTACCATACCAGTTCCTTAGCAGCAATTTCCTTTTGAGTATATTTCTTGACATAGTTTTGCACCTTACTCAATGTGATTTCTATTTATTTATTTTTTAAATTTTTCATTATTTATAAGCTAGCTGAAAAACATTTTTCAGAATTAAAATATTACTTTTAAAATTTTCATCAAATAAACAGTTCAAACAAATTAAATTCATCAGTGGACCTATCTCAGCCAATATCATGTAACAGGTTAATTACACATGTACAGTAAATCTAATAGAAAGCAAACTGATGCTATATGTTTCATTAATCTGACAACAAATTAATAGACAAATAAATTAACACACATTTTAATCTTAAAATACTTAACCAAATTGACATAATAAATCACTCCAATTTCAGCTTACAAGACACCTGAAAACGGGCTATAACACCCATTGTGTCCACATGACAAGGAGCTGCAGAGTTCACTTCTACAGGCAGATGTCACAGGGACCTGAGAATGTGTTACTGCTATATTTGGAACTAAACTAAGGTGTTCAGAGTAATTTTACATGTTTTAGGGGTTTAGATCAGTGGGTTAGTTCTTTATCAATAAGAGTCAGATATTTCATACATAACTTATTTTCGATTGATTTTAAAAAGAAATTGGGATCCTTTTACCTTCACTATAATATTGTTAACACAATCACACATTCTATGTTTACATGTTTAACCAATGTAGGAGAAATTTGCAGGTAAATTAGTAAATCACATACTTCCTAATTCCTTTTCAAAGGTTATATTTGTTATGAATCTCATACTTTCTAAACATGGGAACATCACTTTTGTGTAACTTTGATAACTTGTAGAAAAATGTTTTTTTTAATGTTGTCATCAGTTTTCCTACCATGCTACTGGATGGAAGACAAACTTTACCCTTTTTAAAAAACATAATATTTATATCAAACATGCTTCCTACTCACGTTTACAAGATCGAGGTCTGGCCTGTTTTCTTCTAGACATGAGGCTGGTCAATGTCTAATGGTCACCTATTTCAGATCCGCCGTCAGCGTGCCACACAGGTGTGTCAGCCCCGGGATGTCGCACCTGTCCACGGCTGGTCCTGTTACCTGGTCCCGCAGCTCCGGGGGGTCGTGCTGTGTGCCGCTAATCAGTCTACGATAACAACTCCATACTGGGGATAGCCAACGTAAAATGTCAAGAGTTCACAGTCTTTAGTCATTAATTAAACATAATTAACCCCGATGACATGGACATTGAAGTTTAAAGCTGATGGTGTGTTGTACTAATTGTTCACCTGTGTGCGCTCGGGAGACAGCGTCTGATGTGTTTTATAACTACGCCTCACGCGGTACAAGTTGTGACACTTGCCGGATAATCTACATTTTATATGTGAACCTAGGCCCGGTATCCTCAAGCCGAACTGGCGGGCTGGCGGGCACACAGCGGCGTGTCGAGCAAACCCACTTCCCTGGGCCTCCCTCGACTCTCGGCACTACTGCAAACCAGTCGTGATAATATTTCTCTGAAAGCTGAAGGCACAGCATGTGGGATTCGGCTACGTCACGGAAATGAATATTGAATTGCTTTGTAACAAAGCTATCCCCAGGGGACCCCTCCCTTGGGACCCAACCTTTGCTTAAAAAATGTCTTGGCCAAATCTTTGGAACGATGTGGACCTTTGGGACTGTGACAGTCTCCGCTATCGCGAGACAAAGCAATATCTGCAGGTATTTTTAGCTGCGAAATCAGGGTGTGTTTCCCGATAACACATCTGTATAAATCGACTTCCTGTGGGAGTTGTTCCATGCTGATCGTCGATGAACAGATCCCAGTGGGGTTCCTATTCAATCATTCGCCGGCATGCAGCACCTTTCATTTGTAAACAGTCTGTCGGACATGCGCAGAGATTGGATACAAGGGACGCCACTCTAACAACGGGTGCGTACCGTACTCGCTCTAATAAACTATTTTTTTCAAAACTGAAAAAAGTATTAAGGGGCATGTCCTTTCAAAGCAACAAAGAATCCACTGCATTTTTTGTGAAATAAAAGTACTTCATGTGTGGTCTTATCCAGATTCTAAACTGATACTGGTCAAGAGTGAGTTCGCAATTTTTTTTTATATATCTATATTGAATTTAAATTCTTTTATTTTGAACGATTATTCTCTCCCAACAACATGGAAAATACAGAGGTTCATTTAGATAAATGAAAGATCGATTGATTGAATGATGATGATGATGATGATGATGGAGGTAATATTTAACATCACAATGTATGTGAGTGAGTGGACGTTTTTTTTGTTGTTTTATGTATCGATAAAACTTGTGGGGAAAAACCCCCAAAACAAACATAGCCTAGTCCATAAAAAAAGAAGATAAATGAAAGATATTTTCATTGCATATTATTAAAATGGTTCTGAGTTGGAGAATGAACACTTTTTTTTATACAACAGAAAGCGCATTAGTTCCCAATTTTAACAAACTGGGCGATGTGTAGTATAGCCGTACATAAAACAACAGTGATCTAAAATAGCAATAAAGGTAGGGACACTTAAGGATTGTCGTTTAACGAAACTTCATAACTTATAGAAATTTCACATTAATGAAAACTAAATACATGAACAAATATTTTTTTCCTCAAAGCAACAATTGCAGTCATGCTTTACTTCCGTCGTCGTGAAAATTACCGTTGATTATTGTTTTTATTCGCTCAAGGCCTTTAATTTCAAGAAACGTAACTATTATCGTTGTGAATTTTTAAATTACCATTAAACCATTGTGTCTACAATCCGTAACACACGATTTATATCGCTCTGCCGCAATAAATCATCCCAACAGATGTTTTTGTCGTCGTAACATTGATTTTTAATCGTAGAAATTAGCCATGATTAATAATAATAAAAAAGCATATCAACATCGTGTATTTGTTACAATAGTAAAACATGGGTTGTCAACGGGAACGGAACCCACGATGTCGGAAAAGCAGTTTTTCTTTAATCTGACACCTGTATACTAGTATTTGGTCACGACAAAGTACTCATCCGTTGTTACTCATGCTAGTTGGAGTATGCAGCAATATCTACAGTATGTTTTGTTAATTTTCTAACCCTTATCAATAAAACAGTTTCACGATCTCTTGAGGAGCGTGATTGACACCCTTTGTGCACCCTCCACTAGCATTCGTAGTTTAGATTATTTTAACCTAGATACGTAGCAGAAAGAACATCAATTTAATAAAGAATGTAGTGAAAAAAATCCATACGATATCACATATTGTTGGAATTTATCGCTTACATGAAAAGATTTTTTAGATGAAAAAGTATTGCCAAGATTATGTATGGGGGTTGCTTTGGTTGAGATAGAGCATCTTGTTCTCATACAGTTTAAAAATGAAACGTGTGAAAAAATGAACCCTTTGTATTTTATTTACGTGGAAACTTTTAATTCATGAATTAGTTTAATTTAAACATATTTTATTGCCATCAATTCAGCAAAAGGATTGGGCACAAGTTACATGAACATTATAATCGCCCTTTCCTTACACTTTAATAAAACATTATGTACATCATAAGATGGCTAAATATCAATATATATACAGTGGCGGATCCAGGATTTCCTAAAAGGGGGGGCCAAGAAATTTTCTCAATAGTCAACGGTGTGCTGCGAAAGGCAGCAGCCCGAGCGCGTAGCGCGAGGAGGGGGAGGGTACAGACCCGGGTTTGGGGGATCTCCCCCCAAAAAAATGTACGTCTCAGAAGCGATTTCCCGTGTTCTGAGGATTGTTTTTATGTTTAATTAACAAGAATAAAAAAACAAATTTAAATATGGCCCAAAGACTTTTTTTGTGTACTGGAAAGAAAATTAAAGTTTCGGTTCAAATTCTCTATCAACAGTGTGTTTTAGAAGTCAGATGGTATTATTATAGGGGCAACCTGGTGATGACAAATGTATGAATCCACAGGGGGCTTGTTCATTATTACCTTATTTGGCGTCCCGCCCGCAAGGGGGATACGAGAGGTCCACCATCAAAATATAAATCTAGTCTTCAGACATTGTACGTTTGTCGTACAAAAGAACAAATAATACCATAACATCGTTGCTGTTTAATTAATGAGTTACTCATGGCATCACTAAGTTGCTAAACAAACGGGAAGTTCAAATCAGTGCGACACCCAAGGCCACTAGCTATATACAGGGGCGTTTCTAGGATATTTGAAAGAGGGGGCGTAGAATAAAATCTGCCGCCGAGCGGAGCGAGGCGAAAAAAGTTTTGGACCTTTTTTTTTGCTAAAAAACATAAAATAATTGTGAAATGCACTAATGTAACGGTTCCTGACTTGGAGCATGTATATTTTATAGTTGAAGTATCATGGTTTGACATTTTTTTTATCAGAGTATGTCTTTAATTAATGAATATGATAAATTGCCATATTCAATACAATATTAGCAGATAACGATAAAAAAAATCTTTTTTTTTGAAAATGGGGGGGCGTACGCCCATTACGCCCTCACCTGGACCTGCCCCTGATGTAGTCTCGCGTTTTATAATTGTTGACTAATTCACTAGTGTAGACAATGATATATCTGAAATGTCCACGCTGATTAACTCATGTAAGGGCGTGCATATTACCAACGGTGGTACATTTGCTAAGCTATTTGGTTAAAATGGTACAACTTAGGAGGCACATACGCGTCACCTTTAAATTTAATTTAAAATTATCATACTTGTAAGTACAGCATATCATCTCATTCTTGTACGTACAACTTATTACTACGTACACAATAGTATGCTGTGTCAAGATACTTTCTTGTACGTACACGATGGTAAGCTATAAGTACAACAATGAGATATTATGTTGTACAAACAGTTCCAACAATATATATAATACCAAAATAATTAAAGGATATGTTTAGTCGATTATACATAATATTGTCAGCGGTTAGAAAGGTTACAATAAAAAGTATTAATTTTCAGATCATCTATAACGAGCGGTCAATAATATAATTATGAAACTTATATTTCCGCCGAGCGTTGCAAGTTGCAACTTGGGGTTTTGCGGAGGTGGTAAAATAAAAAAAACACACAAATATTGTTTTAATAAAGAAAATATAGTAAAAATATCAGATAACGGAAACCCACAAGATTTGCTAGGATGCCGTATGGGATGTGTGGGGCGTAGCCCCAGATTTTTTTTCATACAAGCTCCGTGCATTTTTTGATGCATTTTAAAATGTTAATATGTTCCCATTCCCGGCCGATCAGACCGTTATGGGCCGGCCCGGAAAAGGTCAGTCCGCCGCCAAAAGGGGGGGCCGGGGCCGGGTGTGCCCCCCCCCCCTAAATCCGCGCCTGATATATACAATATTATAATTGAATGATAGAATAGAAAAGAGGTAGCGAGAGAGCCAAAAAATATTAACATTTAACAGTTTGAAGTAAATGATACATTTATGTTCACCCATATGCTTACACAACCACATGCACACACACGCACTCTCTGGATTCATGGATAAGAAGTCTAAATCCTGGGTGCTTTTACCTGAGTTCTTAAAACGGATGTTATAGAGTCCGATTCATATTCATACTAACACGAAATCTACAGACGGATCATTTTTGCTCTTTAATATGGAAGTTATCTAAAGTTGTCAGTCACATGTACCTATAACTTTGATTGACTAATATTGATATTGCACCTGGATTTCTCTGCCAGGTGTCACTTCAGGGGCGTGTCTAGCATATTTGGAAGAGGGGGCGTAGAATAAAATCTTTCGCCGAGCGGAGCGAGGCGAAAAAGTATTTGGACATTTTTTTAACTAAAAAACATAAAATAATTGTGAAATGCACTAATGTAACGGTTCCTGACTTGGAGCATGTATATTTTATAGTTAAAGTGTCAGGGTGTTTATGTGTTTAATTAATGAATATGATAAATTGCCATATTCAATACAATATTAGCAGATAACGATATTTTTTTATTTATTGTTTGACCCATTACGCCCTCACCTGGACCCGCCCCTGCACTTCGTCACACTTTTATCATATCACACGAATTTTCCCGTCTGAAGAGTTCAAGTATAATATCAATTTAAGTGAGGTAAGATAACCCGACTGGTGTCTCTTGCTTTCATTTTTACTGATATCATACTTTAGTTCCTCTGGCTGATATCACTTGTTAAAAAGGGGGACAACTTTTTACCCGATCAAAAGACTTATTGCCCTTCAGACATTTTAATATGAAATACTTGTTTCACTCGGAGCTCAATTACATAATAAAAGTTTGGAACTAACACCAGAATGTGTAGCACTTTTAAACAAAGTTTTATTCCTTAAATTTTTGTAGGTGTTGTCACTAATTTTTCAGTTGTCAGCCCTTGAGACTTTTTTCAAACACATACGTTAGCAAATACTGTATAGAATATTACGGTGACATTGAATTTGATGCTGACCTGTTTTTAGTGTGCTATGTTTAATCTTTATATGTCAAAGTTCCATAAATTGCAAAACGCTGTCACTCAAGAAAACTGGAATCTATTACGTTAATATTCATGTTTGGTTTTTGTGTTTTTGGTTAAGTATTGGTATTTATCACTGTCAACAGAGTGTCAAGTTTGTTCCCTTCAGGAACTACTGTCTTTGAAGAGAACATTTTATAAGAGTTTGTACACAAAGCTATCAATATTTCTGTTCGTAAGAACAGGATTTTTTTTCGCATTTCGTTGGGCACATTGTGTGAAATACCTGATAAAAATGAAGTTGATCTTTTTTCTCTATGTGACATAATTTTGACCTTTATATAGTTCCCATAATTTTGTTTATTTATTTATTTTTGTCGATTTGAAAAGGCACCACTGAAGCACCATTTAGGATTCTTCTTCTGG